GTGGAACAGGTACATCTTCACTATCAACTTCTCGTTGTAAATTCAACGCATTGTAGTCGGGAATGACATGTAACGTCAATTGACTACCAAACATATTGTAATGAATCGATCCCGAAGTTGTTCGACGCTCTTCCAAACCTAAGATTTCACCATAGAATCGTCGTGTTGTCTCGAAATTATTCACACAAATCGACAAATGAAATGGCAATGGAACAGCATCTGTGTTATTACCAATCGTCATCTTTAGTATGTTCGTCTCTTGAAATAGTTCTACAATAAACTTAATCAAGTGATAGTTTCTTCAAGTTTGATAAAACATAAAACCGTGCTGTTGTGACACACTAATAAAGGAAGTTCTATGCATCTCGAATCTAGTTAGAATTACTTCTGACTGAACTGAACTGTGCTCTCTCAGCCTATCGATACACAGACTTTTTTCTTTGAGTAATAATGTTTATTCGTATCTATGTATCTCGCAACATCACTATTTCCATTGTTTTAGATCGGAAATGAAATTTACTTTCTCTATCCTTAGGACTCAAATACTAAGTGAGTTTTCTTCCAAATAATGTACGATCTTTTATACAGTTAAACTGAAAAGAAAAAAACGCAATGGTATCAGATAAGATAAACGAAGACTTTGTTTTTTTTCAAGGACAACCTTCTTTTTTGCGTATCATATAATTATAACAAAATGTTTAAAAGGAACGAGATGACTCTGGATATTGAGTTCGTCGAGATTTCTTAAATAAAATAATGACACGATTTTTTCATCTAAACCCTAAAATTTTCGAAATTGCGAAGAGCAAAAGATATGAATTGAGACCTGGAGCAACCTATTTCAACACAAAGAAACGATAGTGTGTCAGTATGTTCGTTCTTTTGTTTCTTGTTCGTTTGATAACCAGTTTAGTTGACATAAAATGAAATGACAAATTTCTTTTGACTCAACTGCGCTCACGTCGAGTTTACAACAAAATCTTCTCGAGAACGCAATGTAAGAATTTTAGTAGCACTCGGTCATAGTTTCTTTTCAGCAGAAAAAAATCCAGGTAAAATGAAACACTCTTTTTCTCAGGACATCTGGAGGAGGTCAAAATAACGAATGTCATTTTCTACTCAATAAACTTCAAATATTCATTTTAGATACTATCTTAAAGTATGACTGATCGAAACGAAGAGAAAGATAATGATCAAGAAGATGAACTATTATCTTCTGCCTTAGAAAACACACCTCGAAATGTTCGACTTGAATCATTTCTGAACCGTTATGAAACTCGTCAACCGCAATTATTATTCACTGATCGTTTTCAACAATATGTGAAAAGACGATGTTCGTCAATGAGTTTTTTGTATTGTTTAAATGCATTACTGGATATGATACCTATCGTTCGTTGTTTGAAAGAATATAACATACG